ATAAAGGAATCAGTATCCATATATCCAAGTCTAGCCTTATCCCCATATTTCTTTTTCACATAATCATACCAGAAGCGGTACATTAAAAGTTTACTAAGACCTAGAACTGATGCTCTAACAATGATTGGTTTATTAAGAACTACGCTAGCTTTTCTCATATGTGCACCTACTAGTGTATCTCCAAGTAGTCTGCCATATTTGAAATTTGGGCTTTTGATTTTCTTGAGAAACTTCTTCTCATCTGACTTATTATTATAGGCCATGATCTTAACATTCTGGTACTTTCTAACATTTTCCATAGTCTTACTATATACCGAATTATTTTTTAGCTTGAAGAAGTCTTTTTCAAATGCATTCTTAGCTTTTTGACATAATTTAGTATTTTCTTGCAATATATGAAGCCAACCAGTTTGTCTGATTAAATGATAAAATCTCTGTGACCTCATTTACAATCGTGCCCAACTTTATATAATACTAGAGCTCTTGATAATGAATGACATAATTTTTTCGTAGACCAAGATGGGGGACTAATTTTTCTGTTGCATAAAATCGTTTACCATTCATATCATTCACAAGATTAGCATTGTATAGGCATAGCATATCCTTTTTTACTGCGACATTTTCTACAGCTAGAGGTAAGTCACTCAGATAATTGTGAGTCTTTAGGGGGAAATGGAAATTAATCATTAAGTAGAATCCACATGATGCATCTGCTCCAGTCTTGAGAATCATTTTGAGATATTTTTTTGCATCTTAGGATTATTCTTTAGATATTTTCGACTTGCAACCTACTTATAATTTCCAATTAGAAGAAATTGGCTCATGTCCCAGCAGAACCCCAGATAATTATAATTGATCTGGTATATATAGAATGAGGTAAAATTTTGAAAATTTTTTAAAAAAGTGGTATGTAAAAAACGGGTTTTTTAAAAAAATGTGGGAGGTAAAATGAGGTAACCAAAAAAGTAGTGATAGGATTTTTATGGTTAAATTTTCACGATTTTTAAGGTGGTAGATTATAAATTGGGTAAATTACATGCTATCCTATTATATATATGGTAAATCATTTTACCGTAATACAATATATAAAAAATTCAATTGTTATATTGTTATAAAGTGAAGAAAAAAAAATTAAAAAAAATAATTTTTTTAATGCGAAACATAAAACTTGTTTTATGTAAAATAATTTTATTTTATTAATAAAATGAAAATTACAGAAGAAATACTTTCAAAACATCCAAAAGTTAGAAAAATTATTGATCCAAAAACTGTAATATGTATATGCGATAAAAAAATTCATCTTGATAGAAACTATGATCCAGATCTTCTTGACCGTTATGTTAAAAATAAAATATGCAAAAGTAATGATGGAAACACACAGATTACACAATTTTTTTCAACCCAAAATTCGGATATTTCAAAAAAAAGAAAACTTTGTACTAGATTAAATGATGAAAAAGTCAAATTATATTTACGTCGTGTAGGTTTTGTGATCACATTTGGTGGTGCACCACCTCCAGATATTGTAGCATGAGAATTATTTGGTAATAAAATCAAATCATCGTTTCATTGGAAAAGTTTAAACAAAAAGGAAAATGATCAACTTTTAGATATTTTACGATCACAAGCAAAGTGGATAAATGATAGCACAACTTTTTGTGTTAGAAGTACTGAATGTTCTACATATGTTGATGGGATTAATAAAGTTTGTAGACAATGTCATGATTTGAGAAAATCAAAGGTTTTTTTGGTAATTAAATTTTCTTATAAATTATGCTTTAAAATAATATACTTTATAATAACATTGATTTATAAATGACAATTTATCATTAAATAGAATGCGATTGATAAACCAATGCCTAAAGAAAAAAACAAAAAATACACTTCTTTAGTTCTTTATAAAAATTCTCCATTTTATCAATATTGTAAAAATGCAAATGTCATGGAATTATTAGAATATTTTAATGATCCAGAAGATTGTACTCCCAAATTTTGGAATCAGTTAGCAAGAATGGGAAAAGCCGATGCCTTTAAAAATAACCAAATTTTTTTCAGATTATGTGAAATTTTTGTGGAAATGACAAATCATATTAATGAAGGAAAAGAACTTCAAAATATTAGATACCCTGAACAATTTTCCAATTTTTAACTATTTTGGCAAGTAGTAGTCCACATACATATGCTATTTTTCAAAAAAACCTTACAGGAAGAACAATTCGAAACATCTGGTAAATAATTTTTTATCATACTACATAAATTATGTATGTATATTTATTTAATTAAATTTATTTTAATTTTTAGCGTGCAACGTGCTCAATCAGATTTAGCACTTGATGATCCATCAATATGTTTTGAAAATATGGCCAAATTTAGAAAATTTTTAAATAGCATTAATTATGATAGACCAATTGCAGCATCAACGGATAACACAAAACTTGAAGAAAAATTACGTTATTCTGCAAGTTTGGATGCAATTCTTGGGTCTATATTGCTGTTACAAGAAACTTTAGTATCTTCTTATGACGAAATTGATACTATCGTAAAAAAAATTCAAACTAATAATGCAATAGCTAAATATGTTCACATATATATTTTACAAGTACCAATTCCTAAAGTACCACCATTTGTACTTGGAATTATTTCAAATAATAGCGAAAATGTGTTGGATGTATATAAAATTCATAAACAAGTTTTAGAACTTGCTGCATACTTTAAAATTCATATATTATCAATTGGAGCTGATGGTGCATCTATAGAAATTAAAGCACAAAAATGTATTATGGAAACTAATACTGAAACAAAACTTGAATTTAATGACGAATTATATGGTATATTATTTAATAATAAATCCTTTGTCTTTATTATCATTATTAATGACTTTTTTATTTAGACATCAAATTATATTGTCCTGTAATTCCAAACATCAGTCCGATTGTTTGTATTTCAGATCCAAAACATGCGAAAAAAAATGGACGAAATAGCATTTTTAGTGGTGCTCGAATGATAACTTTTGGAGATAATTTTTTGGGTTTTGGTCATGTGTTAGAATTATCTAAATCACCAAATTCTGCTTTATATCATGCTGATGTTTTAAATGTGGATAAACAAGATGACGGAGCTGCATACAGGCTTTTTTCCTATGAATTTTTACATGAAGTATCTCAAACCTTAAACTCGGATTCTAAAAATAAAGGATTATTAATTTATTTGTTCATTATCAGTAAATTAAATTCTAATTTATTTATTTTTAAAGTAATTATAATAATAATTATTTATTAATATTATATTTATTATTTTAAAAGGAGAATTGATTGATTCATATCTTAATCGAGAAATTTCTAATCATGAAAGAATCAAAATGGTTATGATAGGCAGTTTATTTCTAAAAATATGGAAACAATTTATTCAAAATGCAACGAATAAATATAAAGGAATTTTTTCAAATGATCGTAATTTTTTAGCACATCAAACTTATGAAATATTGGCTTTTCTTGTTGATTCAATGGTATTATACAAATTTCAATTTTTTTATGATTAATTTTTATTAAATTTGATAAATAATAACAATTATTTTTATTATTACAGATTTTACTTATCATAGCACATCGGGAATATTATAGTTCAATGCTATTATTACCTTGGATGCATAGTAGTGAAGCATGTGAACATTTTTTTGGAATGGCACGACAACACCTGCCAGATTTTACATATGCATATTTAATATATTTAATTCCTAAAATTCGTCATGTTACAAATGCCTATTATAATTCTACAGTTATTAATTCAAATTCTGAATATAAGACTTCTCGAGTTAGTCAGTTTATTTAATTTTTTCAATATTTTATTATAATTATTTTCTCTAATTTTTATTTGTGAAAATTTTAATAGGTTATATTTGTGATTACTTTGAAGGAAACATTAATGATTTAAATTCAAATTTAAAAATTTGGCCTACAGATGACGAAATTAGAGTTCTTATTAATGATGCATACAAAGAAGCAAATGCTTTAGCAAAGTGTGTTTCTATGGTAGTTACATTAAAACCTGAGGTATTATTATTTTCAACTGATCCTTTAACAAGTGAAATAATACCAATTGAGGAAAATTTAACAAAAGAATCTCAAGATAGTGAGAAAGTTTTAACAGAAATTGCCAAAATGATAGGTAATGTTGCAAGCTTGAATTTACGAAATGATATAGATGAGGATTTGATAGATGCTCGTGAACAGATAAAAAATTTATCTAACAATACATATTTGCAACAAACTTATGATAACAATCCTGATATATTAGATAATGATAACAATATAATTTTTGATATACTATATCAACGTCGAAAGTATCACAAGGCTTATACTTCAAAAAAAATGATCTGATCACAATTTCAAGAAAGAGATTATCATTCGTCAAATATCAATCCATCTATTGCTAGTAAAATTGTTACACAAATTACCAATAATAATAATAACTCAAGATTGCCTAAAGCATGATTAGAACGATGGGATATTAGAAAAAGATATGAAAATATTAATGAAATGTTAAAAAATTCACAAGAATTATAACTTCCAAATTATAGTAAGTATAACTAATCAATTGATTTTATTAATTTTTACTAATAATTAACAATACATTATTTTATAGTTTCAAATTATATTCCTTCTATTTCTACGGCAAATATTTCTTCAATTTATTCAGTATAAAAGGGAGGATTTGCATTAGTATTAATTAATAAAGAAATATGTCTTGCACAAATACTTGCAATTTATTATCGGACATCAACTGGAAATAATCATTCATATACCGAAGAACCTGTAAATTAAGTTAATCTAATTACATTTGTATCTACAAAAATATACAGAAATTTGCAGCATAATTTGTTTTATTCAAAGAGTAATGAAGGATATGAATATTTTTGTCATTTATCATCCAAACAAATACTTTATTATTTGGGATATCAAGTAGAAGAATCATGCTCAAATATGTATACTTTACAATCTAATGCATATCAGGTTTATCAAACTCTTTCTAATGATAGTATTTTAGCTTGTATTTTACGATGTTTAAATCAAAAAGGAAAAAAATAAATAAAATTTTTTTTTACTAATCTGATATGTAAAAACTTGGGTATATTATGAATTTTTTAATGTAGTATGTATAAAAGTAGGTATAAAATCTAAAAGATTTTTAGGGTAAATTTTTTCAAATCATATGATTTTTTTTTCTCCCACATTTAATATAATTGTCCGGAGTCCTGTCCCAGCTATAAAGATTATTCGCATCGACATATGAGATCCATGTTGTTGATTGGGATATATCAAATGCGTCTTCCATATTAGGATTATTTGCCTTGAAATGTCTATGTACTGCCATAGCAATACCACCACGCTTTGCCTTTTTAATGAAGTCATGCATTGCCATTTCTGTAAATAGCTCAATTTCAACCTTAGTCATTTTAAGCATAGCATTTCAGGATAGAGAAGGTGCAGATACATAATGATTGGGATCAAGGCCATAATGATGCATTGATGTCTTTCTAAATGTTGTCTAGACATCTGCTAGACTAAGCACATCTATTTTGAGATAGAGATCATTATATTCTCCCAAGTTCTTATACCCAAATTCCTTCCATACA